TTAAAAACACCGAGCCCAAAAATGAGTGATATTTAGTATGAGTTAAATACACATAAATTTCCTCAGAGTTGCAATAATGACGCCAGTGCTTGAGGGTGGCCGTGCTATTACTGTCCCCCTCACCTGTTTGACCTGGTTAGTGAATGGGGCTAATGACCAGGTTCTTAGTGCATGGTGAAACAATGCAATAAGTTCTGCCGTTTATTCCATTTAACACCTTGTAGAAAACAATGTAGCTTTTAGCTTTAAACAATCTCATAAACAACCAGCTAAATACCGGTATGTGTTTCCTGATTTTTTTCGGGGAGAGAGAAGTTGAAATTACTGAAGCCCTTCTCATCAAAGCCTTAGGCTAGGTATGACTTTCCCAAGATCCATCTTAAACATTTAATAAATGTTGTTGATTTAAATGGAATGGAAAATAATGTTCTGTACATGATTATTAATTATGATTTTAATAGCTTTATCAAACGATCTTTGGAAGGATGTGGTTTCTAGCAATGTACTGTTAAAATCATATTTTAAACAAAACGTGAAAAATAAGCTGGAATTAATATAGTAGGGCCTTATTCACATTGTACTTAACATTGAAATTCATTTGACTTAGATTCTCTAAGGCTTCTACAGGGTGTCCATAAAAAACGTTTCAGGACTTTGGGAAATGAATCCTCATATCAAAAGGAAGAAAAAAGTTTATGTGAAGGTATGTCCGAAAATGCATATTTACCCAGTTATCCGCCATTTTGATTTTTATACAAAAATAATTTTAACTGTGGAGTTTTTTGTTCGATGATTATGAAATTTGGTATCCATGTTAACATACACAATACCTATAATAGAAAAAATAATAAAGTTGTTCCGATTGTAAATTTCAAAATGGTGGCCGTTTGAATTTTTCTAACTTAAATAGCTCAAAAACGGCTAATTGTACGAAAAAATGTTAAAATGTTATTTTTACACATTTAAGTATTTAAGTTAGAAAAATTCAAACGGCCACCATTTTGAAATTTACAATCGGAACAGCTTTATTATTTTTTCTATTATAGGTATTGTGTATGTTAACATGGATACCAAATTTCATAATCATCGAACAAAAAACTCCACAGTTAAAATTATTTTTGTATAAAAATCAAAATGGCGGATAACTGGGTAAATATGCATTTTCGGACATACCTTCACATAAACTTTTTTCTTCCTTTTGATATGAGGATTCATTTCCCAAAGTCCTGAAACGTTTTTTATGGACACCCTGTAGAAGCCTTAGAGAATCTAAGTCAAATGAATTTCAATGTTAAGTACAATGTGAATAAGGCCCTACTATATTAATTCCAGCTTATTTTTCACGTTTTGTTTAAAATATGATTTTAACAGTACATTGCTAGAAACCACATCCTTCCAAAGATCGTTTGATAAAGCTATTAAAATCATAATTAATAATCATGTACAGAACATTATTTTCCATTCCATTTAAATCAACAACATTTATTAAATGTTTAAGATGGATCTTGGGAAAGTCATACCTAGCCTAAGGCTTTGATGAGAAGGGCTTCAGTAATTTCAACTTCTCTCTCCCCGAAAAAAATCAGGAAACACATACCGGTATTTAGCTGGTTGTTTATGAGATTGTTTAAAGCTAAAAGCTACATTGTTTTCTACAAGGTGTTAAATGGAATAAACGGCAGAACTTATTGCATTGTTTCACCATGCACTAAGAACCTGGTCATTAGCCCCATTCACTAACCAGGTCAAACAGGTGAGGGGGACAGTAATAGCACGGCCACCCTCAAGCACTGGCGTCATTATTGCAACTCTGAGGAAATTTATGTGTATTTAACTCATACTAAATATCACTCATTTTTGGGCTCGGTGTTTTTAAATGTTATGATACAAAAGGTATAACAAGGGTTTTTACAGTAGTTAGTCAAGTAACGTTCATCGACAACTTTGTTACATTATTGTTGAGTTTCTAGATAATTCCATAGTTTAAATTATTCATTGACACACGTGGGTAACATTACATTGTATTTTATTATGAAACTAAGTTCAAGAAATTTGTAAGCACCCAATAATAATTCTAATCTAGATTTTCCTGGGTACAGACTATCTAAGCCGAAAACTGTTTCCTGGTTGGTTGGTTTCAATGAGTTTAATCACTTACTTAAGATCCTTTAGTGTTATAATACTGCATATGTGTAGGAAAAACACAATTCATTCTTAATCAAAATATAGATTAGAATAGACTAGATCAGTTTCAAGGAAAATAATGTAAGCATTTAGGAAAAAAACATTTATTCATAACACATATTATCTATACAATGCTTAAGATTACCATTTCCCGAATTATGAGATCCAGGAACGAGATTTGCACTTTAGTTTAACCCTTTCCTGACTCTTCATACCCAATTTTTATCTATTAATAAAGAGCAATGTGATCTTGACAGTAAAATAAGAAGGTTACACACCATTGCATATTGCTATCAAAGGAGATTTGATGCTTAAAGCAGGAGCAAAGTTTAGATAAGAAACAACCCTCACAGGATCAATGCAGCCGATCGCCATTACAGAGGCAAAAAAAGCTGTTGTTGTTATATTTGTTAATATTATTATTATGGTTTGTTATTATTAATATCCGTTTACATATTTATATTTCTTTCTTACTTATTTGTTTATTCGTTTATTTCACCGGTTTATCGGTTATTGCTGATCCTAACTAGGCTTATTCTTGAAACGGGATTTAATAGTAGCGATTAGTGTCTCAAATTTAATCCAGCACAAATTCTGAGTGTACAATGGTTAAAGGAAAAAAGCCTACTACAAAGAAAGAGGAAGTCGAGGCTGATGACAACACTAAAAATACCAGCCAAGAGAGCTATTCCCAACACAGGAAAGACTAGAAAATATGCAGGAAAAGCAAAGCAAAAGGATCGTCACCACAATAAAAGCTGAAGAGGAAAGGACAAGACTCTCTAGGAATTATAAAATAAGACTTGTTATTTGTTAATTATTGTTGATATTATTATTATTATTATTATTGTCAATATTTGTTAACATATATTGCTTTCTTACTTATTTGTTTATATTAATTACTTATGTATGAAATACATATTATAACAACCCAAACTCAGGATGAATAAAAACCCTGTTCCCAACACAGGGAATACAAAACCGTATCCTCAACACAGAGAATAAAAACCCCATTCCCAACACAGGGAATACAAAACCGTATCCTCAACACAGAGAATAAAAACCCCATTCCCAACACAGGGAATAAAACCAGAACAGACTGCAGGAGCAAGGGAAGCAATAGGATTACCACCACAAAAAGGCAGAACAGCAAAAAAAGGCAAGAGAGCCCCTAAAAAAGGTTAGACAAAAAGAAAGGCCTGAGAGAAAGAAGGGAGCATGAAGAGAAGGATCTCCCCCCCTGTTAGTCGCCTCTTACGACAAGCCGGGGAAGCTGCGGTCCTATTCTATCCCCGGAAACCGCACGGGGGAAGTATACAAAATACTATAGTCAAATACAAAAACCTAAAACATTAATAAGATAACAATATACAGCCAGCAAATTTGCACATCTTACAAATTAAAAAAAAAACATTAAATTTGCTTCCAATAATCAGGTCTAAATACCCTTGTTGTAGTAAACCTGCAGACTAAGTGAATTTTCATTTGCCTATTTGAACTTAAGATTCCTAGATTTATTCCCTTTTTATATTCCACTTATTCTCCAATCTTTGTTAGACTTATACATTACTATTTTCTGTCAACTATGAAAACAAGCTACAAAATAAATAAATATGTAAACAAGTAATAATAACAATAATATTAGCAATAATAAACAAAAATTAAGAAAACAGCAATACATAGAATAAAATTGATTCTATTATACTTTCATCTAAGAATCTTCAAATGATCTGTCTTATGTTAGCTGCAGCATGCCGAACTGCTGGCAGTGAAGACTTCAACTGAAGTGCCAATCTTGTTCCTGGAGCATATTAATTTACATAAAAGTTGTTACAATTAAACATGTGAGCATTAAAAAGTACTCATTAACTACTTGAATTCCACCTTTGTGACTGTGTGTAACTGAACTTCTTGGTTAAAGGTTTGCTGCTACAGAGAGGTTATACAGTAGAGTCCCACAAACTCTGCGTAATGTGGACTGGAAGGGTGCCGAGTTTGTGAAATGCCAGGTTATCAGGAACTATCGTTAAAAATTAGAACAATACAATTTTTAAGCTTTTCAACCGTCTTTTTATATATTTATATTACAAGTCAGTATTAAGTCATCAGATAGACTAAAACAAATTCTTGGTGCCTTAGGAAATAAAAAAATGTATACTGTTCATACATATTTAACTCAAAAAATAACTAATTTTCTGAGCAATGTGATGGCCGAGTTATCCAGACTGCCGGGTTATCGAGTGCCGAGTTTGCGGGACTCTAAGTGTTTGGGTAAAATTTTATAGCTTAGTATATATTAAATAAATTTGCCAAATTTGGTCAAAATATAAACATGCTAACTAAAGGTCACAAAAGCTGTAACACACACAAGTGTTCAACAAATGTCTCAGACGAATAACCAACAAGTTTTGGCCATAAAATGATGACAAAAATGGAGAGCTGTTAATAAGAGCAAAAGCAAGTAATTTTTCTTTGTTTGAAGTTCATTGTTGGTGATGGTGAGTTAATGTTGTTCAAAGGTTTATTGCGGACATTTTCCATCACGAATGTAAAAAAAACAATACACAACGTTTCGGGATCTGGAATCTGATCCCGTCTTCAGGTGAAAAAACTTAACTAACACATTACAACTAACAATACACAAACGCCCAACCTAAGTTGGAATACACTACCGAGGGTAGTAGTCAGTGCATATTTTTTGACTACTACCCTCGGTAGTGTATTCCAACTTAGGTTGGGCGTTTGTGTATTGTTAGTTGTAATGTGTTAGTTAAGTTTTTTCACCTGAAGACGGGATCAGATTCCAGATCCCGAAACGTTGTGTATTGTTTTTTTTTTACATTCGTGATGGAAAATGTCCGCAATAAACCTTTGAACAACAAGTAATTTTTGGTGATATAATGAAAAGAAAGTTTGTCACAGCCCTATGTCCTTCTTGGGAAGAAAGGAAAAAGATTAAGTAAATCAAACAACAACAAAAAACTACAACACAACTGTTGCCAAAACTGAAAATTACTATTTTTTAAACTTTCACCCCACTAAACCCCATTCCCAGGGACCAATGATGCTGATTCCTAACTCTTTTGCGATCTGATACCTACGGTAATAGCTTATTCCTTATATGAGAAATTTCATAAAAATGAATAAGATATCACCAATAGTTTTAACATTGTTAACAGATAAAGTTGATGTACAGATAATGCTGAGGAAGGGTGTTTTGAATTCTAAAGCTTATTTACTAAGAACTCAAAATGTTTTTCAATTGTCTGTGCCTCAGTTTCTTCCCTGATGGTGACTTTGGAGTAGCAGGTGAAACTTCTTTTAGTAATTTTACTTCTTTCTTAGGGGTTTTCTTTGATGAATTCTGTTTGGTTGGCAAACCCTGACTGGCAGCCTTTTCTTTTGGTGTACTTTTTGCAGAGTTTTTCCCAGCCTTGATGAGTTTCTTTATTGTACCAGAAGGAGTATTGCAATTTTTGTCTTCTTGACTGTTGTTAACTGCCATTGCTGTTAGTGAAACATTTAATTTCTTCTCTGAGGGAGTTTGAAGGACAGCTTTTCTCTTTTTTCCAGATAACTGAGTTCTTTCAACCGAAGATGTTATGTTTTTATTCAGACTTTTGCGAGGCCTCAATTTTGTTGGAGTAAAGGAATTGGAGGATTTAATATCATCCACAACAAGGCTTTTCTGTGGTGAATTTGTGAAAGATTTAATAGCATCAACTACAAGACTTTTCCGTAGTGAATTTACTTTCAAATGAGTATTAACGGTTTTACTTTTCATTTTTTTCTTTAGTATATCTCTAGAAGCTCTTCTTGCCTTGAATATGCTTGTTCTCCTATCCTCGTCGTCACTTTCTGAGAGAGAATCATCTTTATCACTATCACCTAAAGAAGAATCATCACTCTCTAGAGAACTTCCAGGAGAATGTTCATCAGAGTCTGTCGCTTCTTCACTTTCTGACATAGATTCTTGTTCTTTAATATTGTTTTTCTTGACTGCATCAAGTTCCTTTTTTTGCTGCAATACTGATTCATAGTTTGCCTCTTCAACCTGCAAACAAATCAGGAAAAGATTTATAAGTATCACCAAGGTATTAAGAGTCAAGATCAGTTAACATTTTAAATCCCGCAGGTATTTTTTGTCTTTAACTAAATCCTATTTTAACCATGTTTTTCACATCTTTTGAATACAAAAATTAAATTTCTTAGAGAATCGGATTTCATTGAGCACACACCCAAGAATAACAACAGTAAAATAACAGATCAGATGTTGAAATGAAATGTGTTTATTGTCCTTTGAATTTCTTCAAATTACTGACAATGTCATAAAACAGCTAAAGTTATAGCATAGTCACTTAATAAATACGATATAGCTAGACAGAATGAGATAGTTAAAAAGGAAGTAACTGTTCTAAATTATAATTCGGGGCAAGGGTAACGGTGTGGCGCTGTTTTCAGGTGATTGACCTGACCTTCCTTATCAGCCGACATGCAACAGCGAAAGCTGGAGGGGAGCCCAAGGAGACTCAAGGAACCAATAACGAACTTCGAACCAACCAAAAATTTTAATTTAAAAAGTTTAGTTTAAAAGGCTCAAAACAATCAAACTATACAATTCCACACAAAACCCTTATCATAAATAGCTTCAATTTTTGTTTTACAGTACAGTAAATTTAATAAAGTAGCATACAGTAAGGCCCGGTTCACACGAACGACTTATCTAGCTGACTAGGTTGTGACTAGGTAAGCAGGACTAGGTAGCAGACCACAGGATCAAAAGGAGCCGTTCATACGAGCGTAGGGCGACGGCAATCGAGCCGCGTTCGAGCTTGGTGTCGCAAACCATTGTCAGGCCCCGCTTCCTAGCCATGTGTCGCGACTCATCGCAGCTAGCTAGTCACTCGCTCTAGCGGCGTAGCAGTACAGGTAGCCATATGGAAGCGTTCACATGAGCGGTCGGTCGTCGCGCTGCAGTCCGCATACTTCCCTTTGTTCTCATTGTGCGCCAGTGATGGATCCGAGTGGCTTTGATACAGATATTTTCAAGAATCGGCGAAGCAACAACCGTGTCTTTAGAACACTTGTCTTTCAAAATATCATGTTACAGTTAAGAAGACAAATGCGTGGGAGAAAGTTTGTAGTGTTTTGTTCTTTTGTTTTGTTTTGGTACACATTCAACAAGCTGCCATGGTTACTTATCACCCAACCACAAGCTGTTGTGACATAGCATTAGCAAGCAGACAGATGTGTAAGGAGCAGTCGATTGTCAGTGCAAGCAGATAGCTTGACCTTGAAGCTCTCGATGGCCATTTCTTTCTTTTGCTTCCATTTATTTTTGTCAAATGAACTGTGATAGATCAAAAACAATAATGGGGAAACCTACTCACATATAAAAATGGTCAGAAATAGTTAATTATAAAGTGAATTTCAACATATTAGACTGTAAAAACACAATTCATAAACTTTTCTTGGGATTTTTGAGGTTATTTATCAACATAATTTAAGAGGCATAAATTGACCACGGTTGATCCGCCATCCGGTTGATCCGCCCCCACCAGTTAATCAAGGTTCTACTGTACTGTACTGTTATGTAAAGCAATAATATTTCTCAAAAAAGTCAGAATAGAATAGAAACAATAGAAGGGTCGGGTGCAGGGGTTGAGCAATGACCTCGAAAAGGAGCACGCGCCACACACGTGAGTCGAGGGCAAACAGTTGAGTAGGGCAGGGAGAAGGGGTAGGTGCAACCTTGAAGCTAAGTATTAGAGTTACCCTAAAAAAGGGCTGGCAAAAGAGGTTTCGACCGCAGGCCAATAATACTGTTGTTTTTTTCCGGGAATTCCTTGCCCGGGTTTTACTTTACGAGTGTCTTTCTTGGGTAGAAACTTCTAACTATCCAAAATATAATTTGAATATGCCAACTTCCATTTTAATATGTTTCAGAGTCAGAAAAAGGTAGGAATAAATAAACGGGTTCAACAATAAAATTACAATAAAGGTAATCAAATCAGTGACTTCTTTACTAAAATAAGTGAGTTTCTTTGACATTTCTTTGACTTCCTTAATCTATTCTACTGTGACTTCTATATTATTAAAATAAAGTAACGAGCCGAGTCCGAGATGTAGGGTTGTAATTTCGACATCATAAGATGTGGGATTGCCCCTGAACTGGTTATAATAACTAATATAATGGTTTTAAATACCTTCAGTCACCAGTTCAAATTAGTCGGCTATTGCGACCTAGGTTTCGGCACGAAGTTGTACCATCATCAGGCGGGCCAGTTTTGAGTCTTCAGTCCAATGGACGTCGTTGAGTTAAAACAAATAAACAGTTCACGACATACAGCACAAACACGCACACGAACACATAAAACGAATAATACCGGTATTTACAGAAAGACGACATTATTGTAAGTTCACCGGCCGCGACGGGTGACATCCAAGCCACAACTCACTCAGTGTTCGTGTGCGTGTTTGTGCTGTATGTCGTGAACTGTTTATTTGTTTTAACTCAACGACGTCCATTGGACTGAAGACTCAAAACTGGCCCGCCTGATGATGGTACAACTTCGTGCCGAAACCTAGGTCGCAATAGCCGACTAATTTGAACTGGTATTTAAAACCATTATATTAGTGTAGGGTTGTGTCGATGTGTTGAATCCGAATCTCAAACTCACCGAATCCTAAGAAAAGATTCGGATGTGATTCCGAGAATCTAAGCTTAGGTCTGCTGACAGAATACGGCGACTCGACGCCAGCTCTATAATAACTGTTGCAGCAGTGTCGATCTGCGCATAGCTGGAACAAAGCCAAACTAAACTCGGTCTCAAAACTCAAGGCCATTGCTTGAATTACGGAAAGTAAATAAAAGAATATTTTCTTGAATTACGCCCTATTCAATTTTTTTTTGTCCTACAACGCTAGGCAAGAGCCCGGGATTGTTTTTTCACATTACTAGCCTACAGGCTAAACCTTGGGGTTGTGGCATTGTCACTTAGATCAAATCCATTGGTGATTTGGCGGGATTTGAACCCGGGACCTCAGGAAACAAAGTCCCACGCTCTAACCACTAAACCAGCTCGCTACCCCCCTATTCAATATTAATTGTATTTGAAATACGGATAGGCCGATAATAGACTTTCTCAATTCGATACAGTTTTTTACGCTAATTTTCTGCCGGCAAAAACTCGTACGGTAATGCAGGAAATTCCGCCACCAAAACAATCGATGAAATTCCAGGAATCGCACGAGTCTGGTCGCTGGGTTTCCCAGTAGTCTATAGCGATTCAGGAAAGTCTCAATGTTAAAAGTAGTCTCGGTTAATCAGAGCTCCAAACTAGTAAGGAAAGTTTGTGGGGGACCGATTATTTTGCTATGACTCTGTGGGTCCTAACTACCTACTTAAAATGCTCCTAACTACCTAATTATGCCAGAAAATAAGCTAAGTAGACCCTGCCTACCTACAGGGTTACTTGTGAGAACCTGAAACAAACAAAGGGTTAAAGTAGGCCTAGTCTAGGTCCTACAGAGTCTGAGTTTATTAAAAGAAAGCTGTCCAAAGTTGCCAGTGGAATAAAAAATAAAAACGAAAGGTCGAAACAAAAAATAAAATACTTCTTAAACGTAAAAACACAAATAAAACTTCTACTTCTTTACGTGGCCAACTTGAGCAAACTTTTGCCAAACTTGTGACGGTCACAAAAAACCAAAAATTAGTAAAAATTATAAGGAAGGTAACAATACGAATTTTAGAACGTTTATCTTAAGAGGGTGTCACCAATTACGACTCCTCAGCAATTGTAGTGGTTTACAGTGTAGGACTAGGGCTGAAGTCAGGCCTAGCCTCCAAGTTACAACAGTTTTGCTAACTAAAACTGGTAGAAAAAAAGATAAATAGAACTAAAAGGTTGTTACACAACTCACCAAACGACAAAATCGACAATAAACTGGAACCTTTACAAAAACGAAATAAAAGTTTCACCACAAACTACGAACGCTACTCTTAACTAGGCTTTCGGAGGCACGGTTGAGAAAATCACGAATAACAACTCTGAACTACACACACTCAGACAGAATGGCCAGTCGGAATAGCGGACTTCCTTCTTCACAGGCTGAGAATCAAGCAGCCGACATCAAACACTCCTGATTGGTCAGTGAGTTACGAAAAAAAGGCAGAGACTCGATGCAAAAGGAACGTCGGAAGAAAAAGAACGGAAGAGACAAAGAAGTAAAACCGAACTAAACAGAACATTAGCGGAAGATAGGAAGAAGTAAACTCTTTAAAAAAAAACTTAGTTTTACTTCTTCTCCATCCGAGAATCGTCTGTAGATGCATCTATCTGTCAACCCGGTTACATTTCAAGTTATATGGTGATTAGGTTGTGACGACTAGGGTTCAACAGCCAACATCTAGCTGTTGAATTTTTAAAAGACGTTCTGTGGTAATTGATGTTTTTTTTTACAACAAATAAAGCACGTATTTCCCTCTGCTAACACTAGGTCTTGTCGGCTCGTGTTCTTATTTACATTAAACTGAGGTCTTCTTTAAAATAGTTTAACCTGGTTATAATACTGTCTGAAATTAACCCCCTTACCATTTAGGCCCGTTACAAGTTCTGAAATATTACTCATGATTCTCGATACCGATTCCATATAAAAACTCACATTCAGTACTACCTTCGGTTGTAGCTCTAGTTCAGTGCAAGCAACTATTACCACCTTGCCGGTATCGACTTAACCTTGACCGCAATAAGAATATGTCTGCGTTCATGTAGCAAGCAATGGCAGAACTGTACTGAAGACACTAGAGAGACCACACTACGATTTACACAATACGATTCTTTGTTATTGTGGGTGAAAAAAATATATGAATGTGCTATAAAGATCAATTTAGTGATTTTCCCCGGTGAACTTTTAAAACCCACACATATTTCCCGATTTTTTCCTTACACATAAAATCCACGCACATTTCCCGGTTTTCCGTAGTTTATGGTGTATGGCACCCCTGGTAAACTCATTATGAGTTGCACACCAGTCACCAGACCTGACCGGGACGGGAATTTCAACCATAAATACTGGCTAGTATTCTACCTACCTTTGAAGGTAGGTTAGACTAGGGAAGGTCTAGGTGGGTAGGTTTAACAGGGTTATCAGCAGAAGTTGTAAAACCAAATTCACTGATTTTTCCTTGTTTTCCCAAGCTAAAAAGTACAGAATTCCCAGTGTCTATTATACTTTTAAGAAAAGCCCGAAAGACATTACACTTACCAGTAAATTGGTCAAATACTCAATGCGCCAAATTTTGTCACAGATAATAAGTTTTAATTTATCAACACTAATTGAAATTTATGTTTTGTTGGCTTTTGATCTGCCTGCAGACAAATGGGATTTTAGATCATAATTGACTACTAGATTCAATAAGCCGTGACTGATTCAATCATGGTGTGCACAGTTTTAGCAATTTCATAAAAATCTTTTCCTTTTCCTTAACTGTTAAATTCCCTAGGCTTTGATAATGGTACCTGCTAATTTCTGATCAAGAACAGTTAAGATTTAATTATTTTTCTTTCATTTAAAATCATAATAAAGATGAAGAATCTATTGAAAGATTATTTTAATGCCGTTTGGATTAGGATGCCAAAACAGGCGCCAAGCTACAGTTCCGAACGCACGTTCGGAATTAGGCAGCGGCACTTAACTACCGAACATTTTCCGTACTATTTTTTGCTGATATTAAACTTGAATTAGCTGTAAAATTAGCTGTAAAATTGGTAGTTATTACGATTTTAATTATATATATATTTTAAAATTTCACAAAGATTTAGAACTTTGAAATGATATCCTTAGAGAAAATGAATTTTTTAGGCCTACTGAAGCAGTTTCAACTTTCAAACCACCAAACATTACGTTTTTTGCGTTAATTTCCTGATACTTACTTAAAACATTGCTGTAAATCGCTAAAAAATCAAATATTATTGCATTCAAAATTATTTAATTTCAAACATTTAGTACATTGAAACAAAATTCATGGTAGAAAAAAGGTTTCTTCGGCCCACTGAAGTAGATCCTGACCTGCCAAACATTACGTTTTTCGCGTTTATATTTACTGACATTTACTTATAATTAACTGTAAACAGCTATGAAATTGGTAATTATTATATTCATAATAGGTCCCTGTTCGGGCGCCAGAGATGTGACGCAAAATTCTAGGGGGGGAATAAACTAGTATTCACCAAAGTCAGGCTAGGCCTACCCTAGAACTGGCCACACTCAAATTTCTTCCCCGGAGTGCTCAGAAGGAGCCGAGAAAAATCCAGGGGTCGATACAAAGTTGTCACGGCTTTGACTGATCAATTTATTAAAATTTAATCGAAGGCTCAGAGCTCTAGAAGCGCTCAGGAAATCCTGCAGACGCCCAGTTGGAGCTATATCATCCCAGCCTTCGTAAAAGTGTTTTGGAGAATTTTGCCTAACTTTTAGAATGACTCTGTAGGGCCAACGAGTATTCAATCTTAGCCAATGTGATGAAAATACTCGTATTAAAATGCGACTAATTAGTTTAAGACGTTGGTAATCGATCTAATATCGAATGTAATGTAAAACAATTCCTACAGAGTCGTCGGGGCCTAATTAATATAACTGAACGGATAATTTATCGTGATAGGTTTAAAATAAATTTAATAATTATTTTCGCAGCTGATTATTCAACTCAGCCTGCTCCCAAGACTCGATTCTTTCACACGCCAAAGACAGGGTTTAGAACTCAGACGACAAGTCTCGGGGTATTAAAACGTCGAATTAACTGGAGTAACTTAAGTAATAATTAATCGTGAAACGAACGGAATTAACGTAATTTAATAGCCAATTGATTTAAAAGAGCCGAAAAATATCCACCGCTAGTCACTGGCAGGCAGGAACTGGCGGGTTTTGTACAAGTCGGCGAAAACTTAGTTAGTGAGATTTAGAAAATTAAATCGAACTTAAACGGGTAAAAAATAAGTGGCCGACGAGTATACGTATGTTAAAACGAAAATAAAAGGAACGTTAGAAAGTCTAACAACGAACTTAGGTAACCTGAAGGGATAATGCAGTGGTACAGTATGTCGTGATCGTAATTCGTGCGAGAGGCTTCTAGCGAGCTAGTCGGCGGTCAAAGAGCGAATAATTCTTGTCCGGCTCAAATCCTGATTTCCTCGGCCGCGGCTCAAGCGCTGCGGTGGCGATTTTGGAAACTAGCCAACAGCTGATCGGGGAATCGGTCTAGTTATCGTCTGTCATCGTCAATCAACAAACACCAGTTTTAGGTTAGGTCGTCGTTGTCGGTGATAAATACTTGTAAAATCGGTCGGTTTATTTTTAATTTTGTGTTGTTATGCAGAAGATTATGTTTAGTTATAAGTTCATATGTATTTATGCAGTTTATTTTTGAGTAAATAAAGCACTTTTTCATTTCATTAATTTAATTTCATTTCAAAATCGGTCGGTTTAACTTTGTATGGTGAAAAGGAGTGCTATTATGAATAAATATGTAGTTGTGGATGTGTTTGTGTACTTCACTGTGAATAAAAATAGGCCTACGTTCTTTGGCCCATAGCCCAAGCTATGGCCAACACATAGGCCTAGGAGTAGGATGTTGTGGATAAAAATCGGGTAAGTTATGGTGTTTGTTGACTAGCAGTACGTTTTTACCCCCCTTAAACTTTGGTACCTCACAGGTATACTTTTCAAATTCCAAAAAAGTTGTGTGCTTATCAAGTATTACTAAGCAAAAAACAAACCAGAGGTCAATAAACCCGAGCATCTCCCCTTCATGATCCACATTACTGGGAATGCCATACCAATACCAGCTGACCTGGCATCATGTTAGCCCCTCGACATTTATAAAGTATATATATAGCCATGACATAATTCTGTCCCAGTTTATATTGATATATGCAAAAACATACCTGAGGTCAATACATCCCATCTTCCCTTACATGATTTACATTCCAGGGAATGTCTAACCAATGCCAACTGATTTAGGGACATTCCTTAAGTATGCTATAAAAACAAAGAGTTCCTGTGTTGTATTTATATCTGGTATGAGATATAATTTAATAATTGAATGAGACTAAAACAAGCTTTAGGCTGACATATTTTCAGGCTTTCTGAGCACCGGCGGGATAGCCCTTCGGTATTAAGCAGCGACAATCCAGTATTGGGAAGTTGCTGTTTGGTATTAGGAAGATTTGTAATTTTTGGAATGGGTTAAGAAATAACTTATACTGTACATTTAACTTACAAAGGCTTTTTTTGGCAATCATCGACTATGTGTTAGCCATGGTAATATGTCCTTCCATTTAAGAAAATTTGCTAAGGTGATTTGACACACGTTTTAATTTTAACTTACCTCAAAATTAGCATTCAATCCTGAATCTTGCATTCGCTTAGCCAACAGCTCCTTCCTCTTCAGCAAGCCATTAATCTTGTTTACTGTTAGAGACATTTTCAAATAACGATTTTTTACTTTTCGGTTATGCTTGATTGCGAGTTCTGCTTTCTTTGCGAGTGTTTCATTGTTTTGTCGGGCTAGTTTTGCTAAGTGGAAAAGTTTAGGTTTCTGCTTGTCAGGAGGGATGTACTTTGCTGAAAAAAATATTTCTGGTAAAGTACATATTATTTGAATAAAGGGTGTTTGCAAAATTTAATAGTCTGTATGATGGTCTCCTGACCCTCAGTTGGGACCAGCCTGGGCCGTAAACCATTTACAGTCCAACCTCGGTATAACGAATCTTAAAGGGCCAAACTGAATATTTGTTATATCAAGGATTTCGTTAAAACGAGGTTCGTTGTATTGAGATTAGGTTTGCAGGAATTTTGCCAAGTCGAGGTTCAGGAACAAGATCTCGGTCATCAGTCTTCAGTGAATGAAATTAATTGTGACGCACACGGCAGAAAGATGTGGAGATGTGAAAAACTGTGCAGACAAATGTTGCCCAAGCAATGCTTTGGACGTCTTACAATTTTATATTCATCAAGAAACTGTGATTTTTCAAAAGCAATAACGTGGGGGGAGTTCGTTATATCGAGGGAAAGAAACGGACAATTCGTTATGTAGAGGTTATTTTCGCTATGTATGGGTTCTGACAATGATAAATTTGCTATATTGAGGTGTCTTATTTTAGCTGGGATCATCAAAAATTTGTTAAACCAAGGTTATTGATATGGTTTGTTCGTTATGTAGAGGTAAAATATACATTGAGTCTTTTGGAGTGTTCTTAAGGATTTAAAAAATGTTGTTCTATCAAGGAATTTATTATATCAAGGTTTGTTATATCAAGGTTAGACTGTATTAGTAAGTCCCCTGGTAGAAGGATGGTCAGGAGTCCATCATACCAACTAGGTATAGTAGTTTTCCTTATATGTAATTAAATATTGTCTTCCTCTCTATCTGTAAGCCATTAATAATACTAATTAACTTCATGACCCATTTCTTTATAAACGTTAAAAACGTGATAATTTAACAGGCCTCAGAATTATGTAAAATGTCAATCTAAAAAAAGACAATCTAGAAATTTACTAATAAAACAACAACAAAACACTAGGCCCATGTTTGATCTCTTCTCAGTATCCGGTTCTAATCTAATTTTTTGTCCCAGTTTTGTAAACAATTTATGGATATGATTGTTAGAACAAAATGATTACAATGAAACAGAAATCAATTGTTTTTGCTATTATTGTAGGTTTATAATGTTAGAGTGTGATTATTGATTAAGATTATAGATCTAGGTTAAAGTGATTTGAAAAATGTTAAACAGGATTTACCAAATACAATAGCCAAATGCTCAAGATGTATATATATACACATGGGGCTAGTATGGTGATTTAATTTCTTCTTTCGTTGGAATCTCCAACAATTGTTTTAATGTAACATCAATTTTGGAATTTTGGCTTTACTAATTGAATGCCATTTGCCTATATGTGACAAATATATATACAAGAATGTGATTGTAACTGTGAATATGCATGTAACTGAGAGTGAGAATAAAATACAAGGGTCTCAGAAAGAGAATGCCTAGATTTTGAACGGCCGTTTCTCAGGGACTAATACAGATAATTATAAGATTTGACATAACAACGTTTTTTCATTCCTTTTGGTCCTATCACTTGGTCATACATTAATTCATACCATACCTTCACTTTTGGCAAATCGTGCACAATTTTATCAGGACTTTTTTTTAGCTATTTCATCTCCAATTTGAAGTTTTAATCGTTTAGTTATCTAGAATAGTCCCTGTCATATGTTTAATGAATATGTCATCTAAAATAATAGTTAAGACATATTGTTATTATTTATACTTTTACATTCTTCAGTTATTCATTATACATTTTACAAAGAGGTTTACTTTTTAATAGTCAATAAACATGTTACATGTTTTCACTGTGTGCATTTATTAACGCATTCTTAACTACCTTTCATCAGACGATTCATCATCAAATAGTTGTTCATCGTGTCTGCCGCAATTTGAGCAATTTCTGGGTACTTGTACTCAATAAATGCATATCCTTTGGCTCTTCCACTCTGAAATTAAAGAACTATTACAGTTAGTATTAACAAAAGCTTGAATAAACCTGTTTCATCCACCACACTTTTTGACACATCATAGGTTGAGATTGAACTGATCACGTTATTGAGTCTGTTATACGACCTGTGTTGGTTTGTCTAAAATTCTTATGCGACCAGCCTTGAGTCTTTTAAGTTTGTTTACATTGTGTTATGAGTGTCTGATAATGAAGACGTTTGTCATTTGTATTAAATTGTCTTCTATTTCTATTTGATGTTAGATTTAATAATAGGTCGCATAATCAGAAAGTAACAATAGGCTAATTTGACTGTTATTCTTCATAAGACTAAAAACGTGCAAGGTAAATTAATTTTTATATTGAATTGAAATATTGTTCAGCAATCGGGTTGAACAATTGGCACATCAGTTCTAGCAAACCTCCAAATACAATGGTCGCTACACCAATAAAGTGATGCCAGGATGAAAATATCCAACAAATTTACATTCCTGGCATTGTAGGTCACAAGCCAAAGATTTATTCACAGTCAAAAGAGGTGCCTAAACTATTTTATAGCTCGACTCTCAGCTTACAGGAGCTTAAAATCATTTCAATACGTGGCATGCCTGTTAAATACAGTACTGGTACTAAAACCACGAGTAGTGATTTTGCGGTAATAGGACAGAAAGCGTCTAACCTTCAAGCCTCCAAACAATGCACTTGTAGGTCACTAATAGGACAGTCCTTTTATACAAAGACTGACAAAGACATACCTTTTGTAGGTGACTATGTTTACCCACCTTGCTTCTAGGGACATTGACGCCAGTGACTTTTCCAAACTGACTGAAGTAACCTTCAATTTGCTCTTCGTAGAATCCATGTGGAATGTGACTTAGATATACAACACCAGTCGGATCTCTTTTCTGAAATGAAATGTTTGGAATTGCACTTTAAAGATAGATTTTACAACAGTAATTTCACTTTGCTTTGGCACCTAATAAATAGGCTTAGCTTTAAACAAGGAAGTTTTACAGTATACTTCCTCTTCCTTGGACATCTAGTGACAGGACTCTTGTTGGTAGAAACAATGCAGCAGCAAACCTGTAGACTGGGTGAATATCCATTCGCCTAATTTAATATTTACTACATTTAAAATGTGTTAGATTTATTACCTATTTAAATATAATTAGATTAGATTTTACAAGTACTTAGGTTTGCTGGTGAGAAAGGAATAGAGTGGGTTTTAGGAAATGTTAACAGCTTGTCATATTAGATCAAAATTTAACTTCTAGGCAATCCATAAAAAAGCAAACTACAACAGTTCATTTATTTTTCTATAAGAATGATATAAATTTTTAAGTTTAAGTTTTTTTTATTTTGTCTGTATTAATTTAATTGTGCAACAACGCTTTGATGTAGGCCTACTTAAATGTTAGTTCTTTTGACTGGAGACAAGATATAAAACCTACAGCTCGTTTAAGGTTGGTATACCTAGTAATCTGAGAGACAAAATATTGAGTGGAGACTTGTGGCCTATGGGTACAATCCTTTGTAAATACACTCCTAAAAGAACGACACCAAAAAACTGGGCACGCCCAGCCAGGCACTAGGCCTGGGGCTAGTTAATAAAAAAGGTGGCCTAGATAGCCTAGATAGGTTCGATACCTGGCCTAATGTAAATATAAACGTAAATAGTAAAACTATTATATCTTCTTTAAATGTTCAGTGTCTGAGGAACAAAATGGAATCGTTATCCTTTTTTATTAGTGATGAGAAACCAGGCGTGCTCTGCCTTTCTGAGCATTGGCTAGTCAAGGATGAGCTAGAATTTTATACTAGAATATCAGACCTAAACCTGGCAACTGCCTTCACCAGATCTTCATTTAAAAATGGAGGCTTTCTCGCCTGCCTTAAGTTTTAAAACTGTTGACTTGAGTGCCTATTGTGTTGAAAAAACACCGGAACTTTTAGGAGTTGAACTAGATCTGGAAAACTCGAGTATCCTAATTATCTCAGTCTACCGGTCACCCGATGGGGAATTTAATTGCTTATGAAGAATTTAATTTAAATTACTTTATTGAGCTCTTGGAGAAATGTATAATTTTTTTAGGAAAAATCCTGGTATACACCAGATCTCAAAAAACATAGTAGGACTATGTAAAAGCCGTACATGACAGATACAAAAGTATGAAAATAGTAGTGGAAATAAGGATAGGCTGTTTTCACTCTATTTGAAGGCAAAAAAATCTTACAGAATCAAGGTGCAGGAAGCTAAGAAAAAAGCAAATATGAGCTACATTGAAGCGTATCCAAACAAATGCAAAGCTGCGTGGGACATTGTTAAGATCAATTCACCTAAACCGGATGTACCAAGCTCTGTTAATAGCCCTGACGATTTCAACAAATTTTTCATCAGGTCAGTGGAGGAGATTGTGCATGTGCAGTCATTGGCCGAGGACCCCAGCGGAGAGGTATGGAACAGTGACGGAACCAATGTAAGAACCACAGAATGTACGCTGAGTCAATTCAACATGGTGAGTCCCAATCAAAGACTCAATATACCGTAGTTGAAAATTTCAAGAACTCTTCCAGTCCCGACTACTACGGTATTTCTTGCCATATCTTAAAATCAATTATACATCATATAATAGATCCACTCACAGAACTGATAAACCTATGCTTGGTTAAGGGGGTCTTCCCTGAGTGTCTGAAGATTGCTAGAATGGTTCCAATTCATAAAAAGGTGATTTTAGTGTAATTTCAAACTACCGACCTATTTCTATATTGCCGGTACTCTCCAAGATACTTGAGTCCATCATCAAATCTCAGCTGCTTGATTACTTTGAGGACAATAACCTCCTCCTTTCTACCTCTCAACATGGATTTCGGAGGGATAGGTCAACTGTCACTGCTCTGATATCCCTCATGGAGCATGCAAACAACACCTTTGAGGAGGGAGGTATTCTTGCCTTAACTATGTGTGACCTCAGTAAGGCATTTGACTGTGTCAGCCACAAGATTTTGCTCAGGAAGCTGTCAGACTATGGAGTTAGTAGCGTTGCACTCCACATGCTTACTGACTACTTAGACAACCGTAAGCAGATAGTGTCCTTGGAGGGAGCTGTCTCCGAATGTAGGCCTGTGGAGCATGGCGTCCCGCAGGGAAGTATTCTTGGCCCTCTGCTCTTTATTATACACATAAATGACCTGGACCTGAATGGAAAAACCCTTCTTCTTGCCGATGACTCAACCTTAGTAAACAGAGGATTAAGCGTTGAAGACATTCTGTCAGATGCCAATGAAACCTTCACCTCTGCTAAAAACTGGTTCCAGAGCAATAAGTTAAAACTAAATGAAGATAAGACTCAAAGAATATTATTGTCTCTAAAAAGAGAAATTCCAGCAGGGAACAATGAACCAGTCAAAGTTCTAGGCTTCTAGCTGGAGAACAGGCTTGATTGGAACTTTCATGTGGCCAAGGTCTGTTCAAAATTATCAAGAGTAATTTGTCTTCTAAGGAAATTGACAAAGGCGTTGACTGTGGATCACCTTTTGGGAATCTATCATGCCTTGTTCCACAGTCATTTGAACTATAATCTTCTGTTGTGGGGACACTCGGCTGCCTGCAGTGATGCCCTTATTCTGAAGAAGAAGGTGCTAAGAGTTATGGCTTCGACTCATGACCTTGAACACTGTAAACCTCTTTTTAAAAAGTTTAGAATCTTCACAGTATATAACCAGTATATTTTCAACTCTCTAAATTACATCAAACGGAATATAAATCATTTTAATGACAAAACTATCATACACCAACAACTCATAAAGCTCAAAATCTGGAAGTCCAAAGATGCAGGCTGAGCAAAACACAAAATTCCTTTCCAATTACAGCCATAAAACTGTTCAACAGCCTCCCAGCTGACGTGAAAAGCCTCACAACCTCAAATTTCATGAACCTCATCAAACATGAACTTTTAGAATGGCCAGTATCACCCTGAATGATGAAGAAGGAATCCCACTATTCACGGGAAAGAAATAGCCGAAAGGCATCTGACGCAGTCAACCCCACAAGCTGGGTCAAAGACGAAGACATCAAGTATCAATAACGCAAAGTGAATCTGTAATTAGTGTGCGGTGTCTGAAAATAACAGTCAGCCCCTGGCAGAAAAAACTATTATGGTTTTAATTCCAACAGGTGATAGAACCAAACAGTTAACCTACAATGAAGTAGTCAAGCTAGGCCCACTACCTAACAACGACGATAGTTTTAAAGCTAAAATAAGAAAATTAACGCAATTTAATAAACATAATTTAACAGCGAAAAACTTGGTGCAAAATAAATATATTAATGAAACTGGGAAAACATCCTCGAAGCTAGAACCAGCCTTGAAAATGTGTCAAATTTTTGTCACTAGGCTAGCCTTGGAGACACAAACTGAACATATTAAGGAACATTTAAAGGAGAACGACATCAATGAAGTTTACTGTCAGGAGGTTAAAACAAAATTCCCAGGATGTGAAGTTTAAAATTTCTGTCAAATATGAAGATAAGGAAAATGTCTTGAAGGCAGAAATGTGGCCTACTGGTATTTTAGTAAGTGACTACAAACCTATTCATGAAAACGCTACCAGAATAGAACAACCATTTTTAAGCAAGAGTGAATCAAATAAAAATGGACTAGGACTTAACTGCGGCAACACATCCTCAGTGCCATAAAATCTGTACCGATTTTGTTGTATTATACAACAAATTAGCCTACCTACAAGTAGACGCGAACAATCAGTCAGCTGATTATACAATAGACAACGATACCCACAATGCACATGCTACGAGTGGAAGGGATGAGCTATCGGCCCAGCCAGACAGACCGTCAGTCAGTCGTTTCCCGTCTCCCCCGTAATTAGGTGAGCTAAAAAAATCGTTTCGTGCAAATTAAATTCATTCGCGGTGTTAGTCGGTCAATTCATATTTTCATTAAATCTTTAAGCCTATATCCCGCAGGGATATACTTGCTGCGAGAGGTGGAAATAAAATCAGTTTTGAGAAACAAGTGTTGTAAATTAACTTTACAGGCTACCACAAACCGCCATTGGAAATTTCACGTTCGTCAATCAAACCAATTCAATCGCGTTTTTGGTAAGCTCACCTAATTTCTAGTTTTCCTTACCGGTACCTATCCCTGTGTGTCTTTCAGTGTTGGACGTCCAAATTTGTAAGTAATCTATGTTCATAATTGTTGTATGTAGTTATATTATTCAGTGAATCGCACATGTGGTAAATTTTCCTGTTATAGTTTGTTATTTCTTGTTATATGAGCACATGTTTTCAGGTTTAAGTTCTTACAGGTGATTTTTATATCCGTTGTTAAGACAGTCAATCAGTATTAATATAGTAAACAGTAGTAATCTAACGATATTAAGGTTAAATAAATTAAAATGTGTTTGTAGAGTAATTCAGAGTTACTTGCTAAGAATTTTATAGTAGCACAAATGTTTGTAAAATCATTATCTTTACTTTGCCGTTCCATTCAAACGAAAGTTTATTGAGAGTGTGACAGCTAATGTTATTTATTAGGGGTTTAAAAGAATTTTTAATCTGAAGTTGAAGTGGATAGCAGGTTCGAGAAAGGTGCGACAACGTCATATGGGGTCGTGTGTGTTTTACCATAGATGAACCGCCATAGTACTGTTTAGCCATAAATAATAAACAATCTTTCAACACATTATATAAAGTTACAAACAGTTTCACTGTGTAACAAGTTGGACTACGAGACACGACCTTCAATTGATATTCGTTGGCCAACGAGGAGGATTTGTAGTACTGGTCATCTCAATATTAAATTAAATTCACACCCCATTGTCATTGCCGTGATCGGATCGTAACCGCATCAAACACTTCTCTTACCGAGGAATTATTTCAATAATTTTAAGTAAAACAAAAGCAACAATAGCCATTGCACTCATGGTTTGAGAATCAAAATAAAACATCTTTAAAGTGTTAATGAAACGTTAAAAATTATAAAGGAAACCAGCACAGCATTCTGTCATTAAAAAAAAAAGGGTACACAGCGTAATAAATAAAATTGTTATGTGTTTTCATAGTTGTCAATAACCTTGGTGTTTCATTCTTAGTGTCATACAAATTAATTCAATAGAATTTTGGTAATATAGTAAATAAGAAGCCACTAGGTACAAAAGATTCACATTGAAGTGCAACACTAAAAATAGTGTGGTAGTGCGCAAAGTAGAGTCAATGTACATTTAAGATCGATTTCAGCTTTGGAAGAACTTCAAACAGTATCAGGGACGTCCCCTGAGGATCTCTGGGAATAATTTTATTTCCACAGGGCCCACTCATTATTTATTAACATCAAACTTCCACTGCCAAACGCTCTGTTGTTTATTATTGTTCTCTAGTTCTTCCAACCCAGGGGCAACTAAGATTTATAAAGAATTGATCATAGAGAGTATTGTAAGGAGAGTAATATATATTTAAATACATATTTAAATATATAAGAAGTGAACTAATCCTGGCTAACTCTTGGTGTAGAAATGTGCACAAAAAAGTGGTGTGGATATATACCTACCGGTATTCTAAAAAAAACATGAAAAGTCAAGTTTTAGATCTTTCTACATTTTGCATGGAATTTAATTTTGAAGTGACTGGAAATTTTGTTCTTATCTGTATATAGATCCAATAATAGTAACTTTGATTTGTTTCTCGACTTGTTTGACAACTGTCTAAATTTTGTGACATCGACCAACAACACATGTTGTTGCTGGTGATTCTAATGTGGCCCTCTTATTGGCTCTAACTCTATGACTCTATTGGCTAGAGTAATTTTTGTCTTGGGATGTTGCGGGTGAGTACTACTCACTGGATAGCCATTGAGTTTATTGTGGTATTGACTTTTAGAACCAAATATTGATTGGACAAGTTACGATTTTATGAAAACAGCTGTTTTCAAAATTTATAACGAATGGCGAACCATCACAATAAGATAGTACGGAAAATACAAATTATATCTTTTGAAATTTCAAAAAAATTCTTCTCTTTTTTATTCTTTTCACTATAAGGGTTAAGCGATCTTCCCGAATATTACACTGATGAGCTGAAAATGTATAGCCTAAATGATGGGCTCTGTAGGCTACCTTCATGTCCTGTGTCAAACAGCCAACCTGTTGTGTGGGACGTGATAGAATGCAAGCCTTGTATCTTCAAAGTCCATAAGGTTTTATTGACAGTGCCTATGAGTTAACCCTTGTAAAGCCACGTAGAATACTATTAACCAAAGCAGTGTGCTGCATCTGTCATGGAATGTTCATCCAGCCCTGATGGTGTAAATGTTTACTTTGCAGAGGTAGGTAGTCAACAGTTTGATATTTTACAGTGTTATATATTTACAGTAGTTAATGATATCCCCTGACTGCCATGCTAACACAAAATGTTGAAGTAGCAAAGTGTCAGTTTTCCAATTGGATATACTGATATTTTGAATACCCCATCTGATTTTTCGAATATTGTAAAAAAGTTTAAGGCCTCACCAAGTACGGATATTTATAGGCTAGTAACTTATGTCCATTGCCTTTCTCAAGAGTATGGTATTATGACACTTTCAATAAGTGCTTGTACTGTGGGATCTTCCCGATGAGGTTAAAGGTTTCCAACACCGTTCCAGTATACAAAAAGCTTAAACCGAGTCTTGTTAGAAGTTATCATCCGAGAGCTATCATAAGGTAAGGTAATTTATATTGTAATGAACCAAGTCGTAACTCAGTAATGGCCTGTTATCTCCAAACGGTTTTTGTCCAATCATAACACTTGGTTTAAGACACTGCAATATAGGCCTACTATCCTTAGGCCTACATATTTAAAAAAAAGCGGGCACTGTAAGTTTACCTGTACTTTGAAAAAATTATTTCCTGCTCGGTGCAATGTTCAGGCCTATGTCAGGGATGGTGTATTTTTTTTTGCCAATGACCTAAGATTCCGAATAGACTGGGGGTACTTTGGTATTATCCAGAGGCCACCCTTATACAGCGGGCTGCGGCAGTTATGTTAAGTTGGGTTTATAGATAGGTATGTCAGTAGGACTTTCCTCGTTTAATTATTAATCAAACGATACCAGATGAGTCATACTTTCACACTCCAAATCCCCTCCAAGTAGGCCAAGGTCAGGTCGTTGACCGGAGCGTGCGCATCACCTGTCACCGCTTGTATCTGGGATATTTGGCGGGCCAAAGTATGACTCATCTTGAATCATTTAATTCATAACGAAACGAGGAAAGTCTTACTAATATATTTATGACAACCCAACCTAACATAAACGCCGCAGCGCACTGTTTACCAGTACCTACTTGGCAAAGTGTAGCGGATGCGACGCATACAACTCAATCCTCACCGACATCGCTGCCTTCTGGAAGGCAGAACTTCAATGCCGCCAATAGTAATCATGTCATATTCGGACAGTAAGTCAATTAAAGTATGACTTATCCAATTCTGTAGATATTTTTGGTCTCCGGTAAAAAAAAAAATCACTCTAAAATAACTCAAGTGGAATCTGGATAGGCCCCCAACTTAATACCTGGGTGAGGGCCTAAGTTTCCTAGGCTAGCCTAGTTGTAAGCTTTATTGTTACATTTTACTGGCTGATTTTAATATTTTGATAGATGCCTAGGCCTAAGCTAAGCTAGGTTAGTTGGATTTTATTTTACAAAATTTTTCCCAATAAGTAGTGCTGACTTAAGTTGCAGTAGGCCTAAGTTAGGCTACCAGTAAAATTATTTAAAACGTGTTAATAAGGTGATAGGAAACGGCTATTAGCTGCAAGTAAGGAACTTAAAGATGAATTAATCTAACTTAGGACCTTTACATAGCTTACCGTTTTCTTTTGAATTCCTCTCCTCCTACGTTGTCTGCCTGGTGGTTTCATTATTGTCTTACTTTTGATGTTTTCTGTTTTCCCTAAAGAACTTTTCTTCTTGGTTATCTTTGGCGAAGTTGGGGGTTTGACCTTTACCATTTTTGATATGATTTGAAAGTAGGTTATACTTGCAAGACAAATGCCGCTCTGGAGATATAACTATTGAATTGAACCTAGCCACATAATATCAAAACTTCGAAAATAACCACAAATCGAACAACCACAAACCGGCAACCACCACGCACGCACGATCACGATGAGTGAGCAACGAGTTCGGGTTGAGTCGAGAAGAGCAAGAGCAAGAGAATAGAGGTTAGGTTAATTGTTGTTGGTTGGTCTCTTTCTCGGCCGGAAATAAGAATAAGTCAGATTCAGAAGTCGAAGACGGAGTCGAAAAAGGCCAGTGAAAGTAGCACTCGGTGAGGCCAGACGGCCAGACTGACTCGTGCAGTGAGTGTTGTTTTCTTTCTCACTCACTGCCTAAGGGTGCAAAATTTGTATCCACGAGACCAGGGCCCCATTTCATAATAAACTAAAGTTACAAGTAGTTATGGTTGTAAATAGATAATCATGTCCATTTTCAAAATATTTTTTCAAAGAAACATTTTCAGAATTTTTCTACTGATCCACCTATCTCTATACAGGGTGAGTTTTAATTGTCCCCCCCATACGTTTTTCTACATTATTTCAAATATCAATCCCAGACCACTTCTAAACATTGTTGGGTAGTAAGTACTTCATTTTGACAAGGTGGTCATTTCCGGTCGCCATCTTGGATCCACCATATTGGATGCAAAATATTTTTTTCAAAAGTAAAGGTGGGGTTGTGACCCATTATTCCGAACTAGATTTTTACCCTGATTACAATGCCCCAAACCGTTTTTAAAAATCTTGATTCGTTCCAATGTTATGAGGGCTTTTTAAAACTTTATTTTTAGCCCATTTTAACATTGTGCATTTACAAACTAAGGCCATAATCTCAAAATAGTGCTAGATAAAGATAAGTATACACTACCAGTCATTGTTGAACTATTTTCACTTGGTTATGGCTGATGTATTTTTTTCGGCCGCCATCTTGGATCCGCCATTTTGAAATGTGATAAATTATTTTAAATAGGAAGGGGGTGTTGTGACCCATCATTTCGAACTACTTTTTTAAGTTCAACTCAATGCCGCAAATCATTTTTGGTTATCAAGTTTTATTTATGAAATATTGAAATTTTTTTGTTAAAAATGTCAATATCAATATTTCAAAATCAAAATATGAAAATGAAAAACGGATCATGAAATTGAGTTTAGCTTAAAAAAGTAGTTCGAAATGATGGGTCACAACACCCCCTTCATATTTAAAATAATTTATCACATTTCAAAATGGCGGATCCAAGATGGCGGCCGAAAAAATACATCAGCCATAACCAAGTGAAAATAGTTCAACAATGACTGGTAGTGTATACTTATCTTTATCTAGCACTATTTTGAGATTATGGCCTTAGTTTGTAAATGCACAATGTTAAAATAGGCTAAAAATAAAGTTTTAAAAAGCCCTCATAACTTTGGAATGAATCAAGATTTTTAAAAACAGTTTGTGGCATTGTAATCAGGGTAAAAATCTAGTTCGGAATAATGGGTCACAACCCCACCTTTACATTTGAAAAAAATATTTTGCATCCAATATGGCGGATCCAAGATGGCGGCCGGATATGACCACCTTTTAAAAATGAAGTACTTACTACCCAACAATGTTTGGAAGTGGTCTGGGATTGATATTTGAAAAAATGTAGAAAAAAGTATGGGGGGGGACAATTAAAACTCACCCTGTATACATGACAAAGTTGTAAAGGTATGTTTTGTATTTATGTAAGTTTGTAATAAATGTATGAAATTCGTGTGATTTGAAAGTTTTCACGCCATCAATCCCTTTTGGGTTAAAGATGGAGACATGGTAGAACAGATAACGGGTCGTCCACATATTACGTAACGCTCAATGATGGGGAGGGGTTTGGCTTATTGTTACGCAGAGTTGCGAGGAAGGGAAAGATGGGTTTCAAGATCGTTACAGTAACGCACTAAAATCTATTTGTTTACCAAAATGATAAAACTAACAAACAAATAGAAAAGAAATGCCAGTTTAGATTTTACATTGTTTATTTTTTGTCTGAAACTGCGATATTCCAACTCTAAATTGTCACCAACTCCGAGATCAGTTCTTCCAAACATAGAGGGCATGAAAGAAGGCTGGGCGACAGGAGCATTGCAAGCCTATATTTGCTGACTGGGGCATATTCACCATATATACAGCAAACTACATCCTTCAATGTGTCAGCTACGTCCACTCCAATGTGCACACCTTTACCACCAGACAACAGGGGCGTGCGCATAACACCAGGCGCAAAAATCACGATTGATGTACCCTATTGTAAGGCTCAGCAGGACAAAAGACGCTTTTCCAGTCAATAGTCATGGCCCTCAGACTGACCAATAAGTTGCCGGTTGCTGTTAGGCATTTGAACCACAATCAGTTACAAGCCAGGTTTAAGTTTGGTGTGTCGGTGGCTCAGTTGGTAGCGTCGCGGACTTCGGGCCCAAGGCAGCAGTGTCGTGGGTTCGGATCCTAGTCACTGCCACAAACTTTTATCAGTACAGTTCACCTTTGTACTATACCGGCTCACTCCTTGCTTTGCTGGATACGTTCCACGCACAGATCTATAGCCTATGTGGACGGGCAAATGCAAGGTTAAAGAGGGCGCCAACCTCTTAAAAAAGTGTTGGTTGAAAGCTCGGCCTTACTGCTCTCTCTAGGAGTTCTTTTAGGTTGACCTCACAGGCCTTTAAATCCACCGCAATTTAAGTTTATTTATTTTTTCGTCTTAATGACCATACAAAAATCCGTCAGTAAATGGAGGCCTGTACATACTGTAAATATAAGTTTTATTTTTTATTGTAAATATTCTTGACGCAGCCTATCCAGCTTTGTTGGTATCAGGCCGAGGAGGATGTAATAAGGTAATAAGATTAAGAATTATTACTTTACGTTCGTATGGATAATATTATTTTGACCAAACCTATACATGTAATTGTATCTTCTTGGTTCAATAAACGAGTTATTGAGTTATTGGAAATAAATAATTCAGTGGGAAGACTGGTTCAATCCCCAGGCCCCAGCACATTTACTAAATTTGAGGAATCTGGTCTGCTTCTGTTTAAAAGAAACTGTCGTTTTTCCATACTCCCAATGGGGTAGACAGTCACATAAATAAACAATTATTAAAACATCACTGTATACAGTATGCCTTGCCATTTTTTTTTACTATTTTAATGTGTTAGTGGCAACACTGTTATTTCACACGTCGAAAGCAGACATCAACTATCAACAGCACTGAGCACTGTTGTCTAGTTGTCAATAAAAAAAAATATAATAACATTTCAGTAAACAAAATATGGCTACATCAATTTCAAAGTGGGCTTTAGAGAAAAAACATAGTGATCGTGAACGGTGAGTTGAATGATTTACTTAGCACACCATATTGTTTAAGCTTTAAACTATAAGAGGTAATAAAAATTAAAAAATAAGAGTCAGCAATTAATATACTTCAGAAACTGATCTGCCATAACCTCACAAATGGCCTTCTTGAGCTATCAAAAGCTGTTTATTCTTATAGGTAAATTCCTTACCTTTTTGTCTTTTTAATATGCCTGTTTTATTAAATAGATTGCTAGTACAGGCCTACACCACCATTGGTCATTTAGGCGCTATACTAACCAATTATGCTATATGTTTAATGCCAAATATAAAATAACCAATTATGCCTGACTTAGCAAAAGTAATAGGCTATAGCATACCAAGAAAATCTTTCATTTGCTGTTTTTTGTTGGAAGTTCTTCATTTGATTAATTTTCTCAACAAATATTTAATTTACAATGCCATGATGGCACTTTTCTGACAAATCTTACCATGCATTTTCTTTTAGAAGTTTCCACTAAAATAATTATTAAATACATAAAGTTAAAGTTAAGTTACTGTCCCCTATAAATACTTGCTACCGCTTCTAACCATTGTAAGCAATATTTGGATAGAACTGAGTCTCGATCAATAAAATTTACTTCTATAGCCTATAATGTTCATTTATTGAATTAATGGCCATTAATAGGGCAATAGATCTTAAGGAAACTAACTTACTTAAACAAGAAATGAGTGACATGTTTATTTAGGCTATTCATTTAATTAAAATGAACAAATTTTAAGACCAATTGGCTACCAAGAGAATTATGAAATTAAAATGACTGATCCAACCTGGTGATACTTCAGCAATTAGGCTCAATCATGCTAACACTAACATGTGTTGTAGTGTTTAACCTGCAGTTGTTTTTATGTGAAATATATCAAACAATTCTTAATAATAAGTTTTTAGAAATTTCCTTTATAAAGTTATATGGATACCGTAACCAGATTTAACGTTACATTTAAGTTAAGAAATAACCATTCAAAACTCCCTACGCTTTCTAGACCTGTTGCCATAAAGCATTAACTGAGTGTGACCATACATTTGGAGAGCGGCAGTAACTGTTTGTGCTCGTAATACACCCAAGATTTTTTCTACCACCATAATAATTAACCTATCATAACAGACAGATTAATGTTTTAGTAGTATATAAAACACTATTTAGGTAATGCTATGTTTTTTGAGGTTATTTTGTTTGCTTACCGAATGTGTTTTATAGGAACGCCAACAGTGAAATCAGTTGATTTAGCAAGGGGGAATAGTCATTTCCACTGGCAAACGCTAGTAATAGAATTTGAATGAAGCGCGAATGAGCTATTTTGCGTACTGTTTATAGGTGTGGCAATGTGATCATTTCCATGCAGTATTAGGAAAAATATTATTTCTTTTGTAAACAAAAAAACAAAACTAAATACAGTACAGTAAAGGTACCTTCTTTTAGTGTTGAAAATTATAATTATGTCCTTTGGAACCATTAAAAATAATTTACTTTGTGTTTATTCACTGTCACATCTCTTTTGGCATAACTTTATATGGAGCAACCTCTCCAGAAAATTTGGAACAAATATTATCATTTAAAAACCAAGCACTTTGCATCATGTTAAACATTCAAGATTGAAGAACTCCAGTTAAAGAACAATTTTCAAAACTTGATATTCTTACTATCCAAACCAAAGACTGTTGGGACCGACTTTAGATTTAATGACCCATTCGATTTCCATCCAACGACCGTTGGGAAGTAACCCTATCCTTACCTATTACCCTCGGGATAGCCCTCACTTCCGATCCAACGACCGTTGGGACCGACCTCACAGTTTACAACCCATTTGATTTTCCGTCCAACGACCGTTGGGATCGACCTTACAGTTCACAACCCATTCGATTATTTGTATTTTCATTATCTTTGTAAGTATCTGTATTTCAGAGTCTGTGTTTTCATTGTTTCCTTCAACTTCTTAAAATTTTCTCATTATTATAGTTACGTAGGCCTACTTTCGTTTCACTTCTAATGGTGAATTTTGTTTTTCTTTGTTTTCTTTTCCACAAAAATTTTGGACTAAAGGTTTAATTTAATTTATAATTCATTTTGTTATCCTTTTCAGAGAAATTTTGTTGTTGTTAAGTATAAGTTGAGACTCCCACCCACTCACAGAAGTTTTGGTCTTCTCTTGGGTGTGTATATTTCTTCACGAGCTTAAGCAAACTGTTTTTCTTTAATTAACAATAAGTGATTTAAGTTTTGATGTCCACATTTTATAAATAATTTTTTTCTATAATTGTATTACTTAAAGCTTTATTATTATTATCCATCCAACAACTGTTGGGACCGAACCTGGATTAATCCGACTCTTACCGATTATCTGTCCAACGACAATTGGGGAGTCACTTTATTCCTCCGACTAATGGCGGGATAGCCCTTGCTTCCGCGCTAACGACTGTTGGGCCCGACCCTCGATTAATCCGACCCTTTCGATTATCCGTCCAACGACCGTTGGGTAGTTACGTCATTTCTCTGATAGTAATTAGGAATATCGGTACTTTAATTTTCAATCCAATTCACAATCCAATTTAAGTTATCTTAATACATTGTGACTCTTATTTTTGGTTATTTGGGCTATGATGAGACCGTTTGCGTTAATTGTGGGAGATTGTCCTAAACGTCACGGGTCAAAGCCTTGACCAACAACTAAAAACAAACTCTGGATTGCTGAGTTATCTGGACAAATTTAAGTGTAAAATGCTTTACCGGGTGGCAAAAACTTTGCCGACCAGATAAGCGTTACATTTTGGCGAGACTTTGGGCGCATGCCACAGGTATGGGGCAAAGGCACAGACATAAAATCAGTTTTTCAAATCACAACTTAAAATTCTTCATATGCTGGGATTACCTTCTGCCTGATAATATTTTACAAATAACAGACAAAAATAATAAATTTAAAAAAACTAAAACTTGTATGTTATCCAATTTGTTGGTTGACTGTGTTGTAAATTTGAAGGTTATCAGTTTTTGTATTCTAGTTTAGCCTTTTTATATTTGGTTAGTTTTAACAATATAATTTAATTGTATAACACCATTCTGGTGCAACATGTTGTACTCTTGAATAGAGATTATATGACTATGACTATTAAAAATTCCAATGGAAACACTATTGGGGTCAGTGTAGTTGAAAAAAAAAACTCTCTAGTTCTAGTAACAACAACAACAAAATACTAAGCTATATTGCTTCAACTATTATTTTCATACCTAGTAAAGGATTTAAAACATACTATTGTGTGTTTCTTATGCATAAATATGTCTCGCTTTTTGTTTATCATTTCCTGTATAGAGTTGTGTTGTGAACAACAGAGATTTTGTTACCAAGCTGAGACAAAGTATTATTTTAGAATGTCTTCTTAAGCTGGTTATATATATATATATATCTAGTAATAGCGTATATACAAATATATTTAAATTTTTATTGCAGCTGGATTTGCATCTACCCTGCTTACATCAACAGTAAGAAGACACTTGCAGAGGGACGGAAAATTCCCCGTGAGAAGGCTGTGGACAATCCAACACACCAGGAAATTAAAGATGTTTTACTGGCTGCGGGGCTTAAAATTGGTGTTGAAAACAAAATCTATAGTCGAGAGAGAAGTAAAGAAATGCTATATAGAGGTCGTATCCGAGTTCAGTTGAAAAACGAGGATGGAACTCCTGTCAATGAGGATTTTAAGACACGTAAGTATTATAATCCATGGAAGTTTCTTATTTTTAAATAAGCCTAATTAATTAGTAGGATCCTTTAGCTCATTAATGATATGTCGATGCCTGAAGGCCATTCTTATTCTAGGAAGTGACCTTAAAATGTCAGTGCCAGTACTTCTGTATGAGCCGATTCGTAGAACAGCCTGACATGCATCGCAGCTATGGAATTGCGGTGGTTGTGATTGTCAATCTGTCCCTAAGGCTACGGCCACACGGGCGTTTTTTCACGCAAGAACGCAGCGTGAAAAAACGTGAGAAATATGGGCAGCATTAAATGTATAATGAGGTATGCCACACGGAGTGTGTTTTCACGCAGATTAGGCGCGTCTTCAAAATCGACCGCCGCGGGCCCGCAGAAGAATGGACTGGGGTGCATTTTTGAAGCTTGTTTTCATGCTCTGTCCCTGGCCACACGGGCGGGAGCAACACGCAACTTTGATCGAGTCGTCCTAGCAAGTTAAAATAAATATAAATGTATCTAATTTTGTCCAGGATAGCGTAAAATATTTTTGGGTCTAGCCAATTACACAGTAGACCTACACGTTTTATCTTAAACATAGGTCGACCTTACTGGACCACTTAATATTTTGTTACTAAAAGGAAAGGTATTTAGTTGGATTAAAAAATGTTAGAATATTCAAAGATCTGATGAAAATCTTGTCATAAAAATATTTATATTATAGGCTATTTATTTTTTTATACTAAATGTCAAAATAAAATAATTTTAGTGTTGTTTTCATATCGAAATTAATATATTATATTTATTTTTACACTAAATGTGTATAATTAAATGAAAGGTTAACAAAATAAAATAATTTTATTGTTGTTTTCGTATCGAAATTAATATATTATATTCATTTTTTTATATGATTTTTTATATTTTTTTATATTATTGTTACGCATTTCATTGTCTATTATTGTTATCAATTTTGGTTTTATTATTGTTAATCTAGTCATAAGCACAAACATTCACTGTTGAAGCTGTCAAACCTCTGATTATCTTTGTAAATTGGTGTATTGCCGTTGGTAAATAAAAATAAAAATAATAATAAATAATAAAATAAAAATATACTAAATGTAAATAATTAAATGAATGGTTAACAAAATAAAATAATTTTAGTATTGTTTTCGTATCGAAATCAATATACCATTCATATTTCTTGTTCACAAGTCAGAAACAAGGTTACTATTCCGGCCATGAGGAAGATATATAACATAATTACGTGAATTCGTGAATCAACTGCGGGTTCCCACTGCATTTTGCCGCTCCTGGACTTTAACCGGCGTGAGAACAAGCTATATTTTACTGCGTGAAAAAAACGCACGTGTGGCATACAACAGCAGGAATTCAAGCAGCGTGAAAATAAGCTACATTTTACCGCGTGAAAAAACGCCCGTGTGGCCGTAGCCTAAGTGCAAGGTTGCTTCTATTGGGGGGCCTTAAAAGGGGGCTGCTGCGTTTTGTACCCAAACAATTTTTTTAGAACAAAATATGAACTTTTATTTCCTAAAATTAATTTTTAGCTACGATTGCAGTGAACGATCAAGATGTCCCGTGATTGTGGGAGATTTCACGATTTCCCAGGAATTGGGATAGCGGTAATTCAGATTACTAGGCGAAACCCGTCGTAATCAACGTTTACTTTCAAGGCTTATTTTAATTCATCTAACTGTGATAAATTGAGTAAAATTATACATATTTTGAGCATTTAGCATTGTTTAAAGAGTGATAAGTGTAAAAGCAATAATGATATTGATTGCGTTAGTTGCCAAATTTGGTTGACCATTCAATGAATAAAATATTTCCCATACCGTACGTCATCGGAGTTATTATTAATATGTTAACTGGTATATCTCTTCTTTTGAAAGAACCTTTAAATAGTTTTAAAATTGTATTGGTGGATCTTTTGTAGTTAAAAACTTCCGCGATTTGATCAGCGTAATAAAGATTAATCTATGATTTTATTAGAGAAAAAATATCTGTTTGTTGAGAAGACACGTTCTAACTGCAAAGTGAGGTCCATCCGTTACAGTGTAAGTTTGATTTTTCCTTCGTCACGTCACGTCAGTTCATATCATAGGCTACTTCAATGAATAACCCTCTAGCATAGTTTTGAGAAATTGGCTGTGGGGTTACTGTTAAAGCTAATAAGATACTTCTGTATTATTGTGTATTGTATGTATTACACTATTGAATATTTGCAATGATTGAAAACATGTATGACAATAATCTCGTGAACCGATGATGATCTGTCTAGAATAATATGATAAAATATAGGCAAAAGTGTTGAAAAAGGCAGACACCAACCCGTAAAATAAATATTATAGTTCAATAAGAAATCATTTGTTAGAGTTACTGTGAACATCCACAGATTTTCCACTGATTTCGTAATGGAACTTTATATTGCAAAGCATGACATGATACAGAAAACATAAGAAAAACAATTTTAAAATCAGAAAATAACATGGCAAATACTTTTTTTGATCAGTTCAGTAACTCCAAATAAATGTGTGTTGTTTAAAATACAATTTAAAAATCAACAGCTGTTTCATTGAAAATTATTATCCACATGGTCAAAATGTAAACAAATCTGTGGAGGGATCTTTAAAGGCTTCTGTTGCAGAGCCCTAAGGGAATTTACTTCGTTTTTCTTTTGATAACTCGTCTACAGACCAAGACATTTCTTTGGACACCTCTACCAAGTTTCTACGCCCAGCAGTTCTCTTAAATTAGCGGAGACAAAGTTTCCAATTAAATATTTAGATTCCCCCATGTTAATCTTATGGGAGAAAATCCAACTTTGATGGAAGATCCTGCCCAAACTAATAAAGATTTCAAAAAATGAAAAAAACACTTTGCAAAACTACAGATCAGGGCCATTTTTTGACTCTTTAATAATTAAAATCGGTCCAAAAATGAGGGAGGAGTTCTGTTTACAAAAATCGACTTAGCGTATTATATATGATATTTCAACCCTTCATAAATACAATACTCTTCATAAAGACTCCATAATAACATATAAACATCAAACAAAATTTTTTGAAAAGAAACCTTCCTACATCGGTCAAAGATATTTAAATACAATTCCAAAAAAAATAAAGAAGTAACCAAAACAAATTAAAAAAAGATTAAAATAATATATTATTAAAAAAGCTCCATATTCTTTTGACGATTTTTTCCACCCATCACAGTCATAATGAATACATTAACAACTGTGTAACTTTACAGTCTCCTGCATAGAGTGGATGAGATTGTCACCTAGGCTAGTTTGAGTTGTTTTACAACCTGACAGTATTCGATGTATATTAGTAAAAAGTCTGGAGATCCCCTGTTAATTATTTAACGGCTCATACTAGAAAAACTATACTTGGCACACCTTTATGGCATGTTATGAAGTGCTTTTTGGGTATAACCGCCACTTGGTGTACATCCCCAAAATGGGGGATTTTGGGGGAAACTCAAAATTTTTTAACGGTAGACCCATCGATTGACCCCTCATTTTGAAGGTCCTGATAAAATAAAACTAAGAACGCAAACTCCACTATCTCATCTGGGTCCACTAAAAAATGGCAGATGATTGAAATCTTTAGAAATCAGAATTAACTTACAATTTTATATTCAATTGGCTGCCATATTTTACTGTGTTAAGATAGAGACCTCTAGTTTGCGTTGTTAGTTTTATTTTATTACGACCTTCAAAATGAGGGTGGGGGGGGGGTCACTCCATGGGGCTTAATATTTAAAAATTTTGAGTTTCCCACAATCCCCCATTTTGGGTTGGGGAAACAAGTAGTAATTAGGATCAAAAAGTACTTTATAACATGCCATAAAGGTGTGCAGAGTTTAGTTTTCCTAGCCGTTACAAAATTTAGAGGGGGTCTCCAGACTTGGAAAGCTGTAAGTTAGTAAGTTAAATTTCACTTCTGAGAATTTCAATTGGCTGCCATTTTTTACTGGATTGAGATAGAGACCCCTAGTTTGCGTTGTTAGTTTTCTTTTACCAGGACCTTCAAAATGAGAGGTCACTCAATGGGTCTCTAACCCTGTATATATAAATATTGTACAAAATAATGAATAAAGAAGTTAGAATTAAGGATTGGATTGAATGATGTCCCCGTGACTGCGGGAGATGTTCACAGTTTCACGGCAATAGCAGGGGGTGATGATATTGTTCTGGGATCACGGGAGATGTTCACGGCGGTTTTGCAGCAATCGCAGGTCGCAATGATAATGACAGGGCCGGGTTTAGCATTTTGGCGCCCCTAGGCCCAAATAATTTTCCACCCCCTAGTCTGGTCACAGTTACTTTCCTTCAAACCTTTAATAACAACTATATCATGGCCATAGGCCTAAGTTAATTGCTTGAATACCACTCCTCGTGTGAATTTTATCATTGCAAGTTTTTGAAGAATGACTTGTTTAGCCTTAACAAAATGCCGTCTTAAACACTTTTAGCAATTTTATGCTTTTAGTAAATGCTCACGTTTGTGGGATTGAAACAAAACAACTCAACCCACCGAGAATTCCTGCAAAAAAACATGGCCATTAATATGAATTTCAGGCCTAAAAACATGAACTACATACAGTACGTGTACCATAGATTAAACTTACTCCTTTAGTAGATTTGTCATCATTATGGATTAGCTAAAAACAATTCTTGTTATTTAACCATAGTTTATCCAAAATAAAACGATCTAATTATAAACAATAGGTTGACTCCTGGTTATAGGTATTAAAATAAATTAAAAACACACATCATAGAATTAACCCTAAAATAATAGAAACAAAATTACGTCAAAACTAACGTCCAGTGTCACCTAGACATGAAAAAATTTGAATTAACAATGAAGTCGACTTGAGTTATATTTAATCGATGGTGGTACTGCATCTATGTTATATTTCCAAAGCAAAACAGCATTATTCTGGCCAACCACACTGATCCTTAGGTCTGAGGAGAAAATGACAGCATTAATCGTGCTTTGGAGGGTTTTTAAATTTTTCTAAAACCTATTGCAAACTGAGATAAATATTTTTTGTTAATTTTAAAGATAAATTCATCGTTTTTAAATATACAACACAGTATTATATATTTTAACTTGATCCTGCAGATTGTTGTGAACTAAATGGACCATAAGTTAATAACTGTTGTTTTGTGAGGTGATGGTGGTAACAGTCTAGCACGCATGCGCCCCTAATCACTCCGATCTCCGATCAGTAGCGCCGACGAGCCAGCATAGTGGCAATGCAATGCGTACCGCTCAGGCTCTCTTAAACATCCCTACAGCCTACTGCCGTATTACCAATGTTGTAACGAAATTGATGCGTAATAATTCAGACAAATAGTTTAAATTTTCTAACATTTATTTCTTCCTATGAACTTCAGAATCAGAATGTTTGTTAGCCAGAAATTTTTTTTAAAATCAACTACATTAAGACAATTTGTTTTTATTTTTAGATATTTAAAAAAAAATCCTCTGGCCCATGCGCCCTCTGGGAGCTTGGGCCCATAGGCCCGGGCCTATTGGGAAATCCGGCCCTGGATAATGGTCTCTCTTAAAGGGAGGTGTTCACAATTTCACCGAAATCGCTGGGCCACTCGTGTTAATTTGACCTTGGGCCTTAAGTGCCCTAAATAAAAAACTGATGTTGCTAAGTATTACCTCTGGATACATGAAAAAATAGGAGTAAAAAAAATTCTTAATAACGTCCGAATAAATCAATTAGTGGAGGTATCGGTAAGGGTCTCCCACCTTACAATATACCCTAACTACTTACTCATACTGCCCTATTTGGCGATGTAAATGAACTTTTACCTCTAGAATTAAATAATTTACATTTCAATAATTTAAAGTTGACATATTTAAGACCTGATAACATTGCATTGCAACAAAACATGTAAATATAAATGATTTTTCCTACAGTTACCTAACAATGTACATGTTCTCTCACTGATTTGAGAAAGCAAAGTGGCCAATTCGCTCATCAGTGAGACAATGTTAACATTGTCTCACTCTAATTACTTTGTCTCACTCCAGATTTGCAACATGAAGGCACGAAATAGTGAGCGCGTAACATGCAGACAAGGTCGTATGTGCGCAAAATACGTTGGCAGCACTGGCTTTAAATCAGCTGGTCAGCTGTTGTACTGTTGTATTTGTCACTTCACATTAAATGTCGTATTAAAAGTTCACTTCTATGTAAAAATATGTCACGTTTCTTTACCAATTTATTTGTTTTATGGTAACTGTAGGAAAAATATAATGTGCAACTCGAGTGCAAAGTGCAATTGCCTCACTCGAGAAACCATTCCTCACTTGCCTACGGCTCGTGAGTAAGTATTTCTCTCGAGTGAGTTAATTGCTCCCTTTGCTCACTAGTTGCACAAATAACTAGAAATGTTGACATATTTTGGACTACTGACTAATGTAAGCCATAGCCTAGAAAGTCATATATTCGTAGTCCAGGGGCTATAAGAATGAATTTAATTACTAATACCCCCGCTGCAGCAAACCTGCCGACAAAGCGAATTTCCCTTTTGTCTGAATTGATTTTCAATTAAATCTATTTAAATAGCAGTAGGGTTAAAAAGTACTTAGGTTTGCTGCTACAAGGAAACTAATTGTGTTTTTTTTAGTAAAATATCAATAGCTTAGTATAAAATAAATAAATTTGCCAATTTTGATCAAAATATATCCATAAACAAGCAAACTACAACATTTTACAATATCCTCCATAAGAATAACATGAGAATTTTAAATTTACAACTTTTTAAATTTTCTCCGTTACCAATAACCGTACAGAAACACTTTGGTATACTAAATTATTTGTTTTTTTCAAGGTCTTTAAAAAGGTTTAGAGATAAATTGGAAAATTTTGTGTTTTGAGGGTCAAATATGAGAAAAACCAATTTTTACCCCATAAAACCCCCTGTAAAACCCCGTTCCCATGGTCCGATCATGCTGGTTCCCGAACTCATTCAATTTCCCGCATTACACCTATACCACACTTAAACCAAATTTCATCAAGTTATCAGGACAAAAATTACTCAAGTTATTGCGTTTACGGACACACACACATATATATATATACATATATATATACACATATATATAAATTTGAACGAATAGTGTTTTTGGCCTCTGGGGACATCAAAATGAAAAAGTAAATTGGTCCCAGGCTCAAGCCATACCATGAGAACTACGGTTATAGCTACTTCCCTATTGGGAAATTCGCTAATATCAGATCCTTTGTCATTTTTCATCATAAGTCCAGTTGTTATCCTGTTTGTTACCTTCAAATGTATTTCTCTTGTACACTGCATATCATGCTCATTCATGTTTTTAGTAAATCACAATTTAAAAAAATGTTAGTTATTATTTGTTGTTGTTCATGTTATTTATATTGTTATGTTAACTGTATTTTTACTGTAATGTTCTCTAGTTGTTTCAAGCCATTGCGTCTTTGCCCTAAGAACGTAACCAACATATGAATATTTTGTAATTGGAGTAATATGTTGGAAATAAAATAAATAAATTGAAAGCTAACTTGATAATAATCAAGCAAATGTTTATATTGTGGCAGGTGATTCTGTGATGTTATATCTGGGATCAATGATTCCTAAGCTGAAGAGTAGATCAGGCAAACAAGGAGGAGGAGACCCAGGAGCTCAGGGGAGTGGACAAAGTGGAGGCTCAAAAAAGAAGGGGAAAGGAAGAAGATGAACATAACCTACATTAAGGTCAGCTTTTAAACAAAATATGTCTATGATTAATAAGAATTAGGCCCAAAGATGGTAAAAAATAGCCGAAGCCAAGTTTTATGATACTTTATACTACTTTGACTGGGAACAGCATAAAGTGTGTTACAATAAAAACAATGTGTAGTAGAACCCCAATTATCTGAACTCCAATCATCCAGATGTCCAATTAACTGTATTACCTTAAGCAGAAATAAATGGTACCATGGTGGCAGCAATCTGACAAATACTTTTTCTTTTCCCATTAGCTTGTCAACAACCCCTGTCATGGGACTAATCAAATTTATGGGGAAAATCACAAAAGTTGCAAACACTTTTGAACTGTAATTTTTACATCACTGGGAGCTGTACCATTTTGTTTAGAGTCAAAAGGAGCTAAGGAGCATAACATATTAAGGTTAATCCAAATCAATCAGGCTGTTTTTGTGAAAATATGATTTCCTGTTATTTCATGGGAAAATCACCATTAAAAATCAAGATTGCAAAACAATAAAAAAGGGGATACTATGGAGTATATTTTATATTTATAGTATCCACATACCAGATTTAATCAAAGTCGGACCATAGGTGTGGTCTGTAGCTTTGTACACATCAACATACACTGACATCACTTTGAAAACGCCTTCTTTGGTTTTTTTGTAGACTATGGTAATCTGTTATATATTTTAATGTGTGCTAATTGTTTCCATCATGCAGCAAGTCTATTGTAGTATTGTATTAGTTATGTGAAGGTTGAGCCATATGCCAACTGCCAATTACTATCCTTGAAAGTAAGCCTATTCTTTAAAAGTCCAATAATCTAGATTTTTAACCATTTGAATGAGGCCCGGTCCTAATTGATTTGGATAGTTGGACTGTAGTAGTAAATAAAAAAAAATTATATTTAAGCTGGACCAAAAGGATTGGAAGCACCAACCCCCATCCCGTCTTTCACCATTTTGAACCCCAGATATTTCATGTGACAATTAGACTTGTACCCATGCCCTTTGAACCTGATTTTATTAAAATTCCAGCTGTGCAGTGTATTGCCATTGTGTAAGCAAATATTGTGAAATACCTATTAAGGGTTAAACTAAAATTTGAAAATGTACGACTAATTTAATTATTTTTTCAGGTCCTAATTTTTAAGTTGCATGGGAAAAAGAAGAAAATACCAGCTCAAATAATAGAATTTATTACAGTTAAATAAAAAAATACATGTGATAGATGATTATTCTTTATTACCTATGGTAATTTTATTTTGGATACTAGATCAGAAATACCATCCATATAGTCCAGGTGACCATATGTACCAGGTAGCCTATTTTCTATTAGAAAAGAAAATAGTTGAATGATCCCAGGGGTGGTTCTAAGTAAGAGGGTGCTAATGGGGGTGAATCACACCAGAAGGGAGGTCAGGTGGTTCTCCTGCTGAAAATTTGCTATTTTTAAAACCATTTTTAACGTCTAGAACTGTATCCAGAAACCTTTGTTAGGTTTTTATGAAAAATTTTATGTTTAAATTTATATTACCAGGGTAGACCCTCCCTTGGAACCTGCCACTGATTGAGCCATTCATGAAGTGGACTACAGCCTTAAATTCTATTTTATTCTTTGGTTTTTGTTACTATTTTTGTACAGTTTATGTGACATAAAAGCTACAATAAGTTGTTCTATCAGTTTGACTTGGTAAAAAATATGGCGAATTCGTTAGAAACCAACAACCAACAGCTTACATCAGCTCAATGTCAGTGGATCAATTCAACTATGTCTATTATGATTCTAAAAATTAAGAAAATTTAAATGGGGACGAAATATCTATTTACATCAATAGTCAACACTATAATACAGAAACAGGTAGATGATATGAAATTCTATTGTAAAACTGTAGACTTGTAACAAAAAATGCACAATAAGTTGCTTCCAAACTAATCAATCAGTCAACCTTTAATGTTAATCATCATTAAACAAAAATACTAAACGTGTGCATTGAGTTGCCAATTACAAAACAACAGCCGCAAAAAAAATACTCTGCGGCTGCTGCTACCTATGAGGATAAAATATGCACACATTAAATTAATTCTAGTGACTGCCTAGTACGTTCCTAACAGGAACAAGATTATATTTCAACTATGCAGAAATACCAAAGGCTGTATTTAAAGGTAAATACATGTGTAGCTTTGTTACTGACTAAGACCAACTGATTCTATAACCAGAATGAATCACTAAAAGCCCATGATTTAGGACAACTAGGACCAGTTTTGATCATTGGACCTTTAATAAATCACTCTGATTAGTTTTTCGGTCTTCAAGTTTTTTTCACGTCTCCACATTTTTTTCCTCCTTTTTTCATGTTTGCCATGAGAATTTCTTCTGGTACATCCTGATATGGCTTGTTATCCATCCTCACTGTTTCATCTCTGAATCGAACCTCTGAAATTCAAAAGTTAATAATTAAACATGTACTAACTAGTTAGCAATCATACACAATTATTTTGTTAAATTCATCTAAAAACCGATAGAAATGTTACAAAATAAAATCAAGGTACAGTCACCTAGGAATGCTTTAAGTTAAAAAATATGTAGATTCCAGTATTTATAAGTTGTTAAATTTCTATTTTAAGCCCCTGTCCAATATTTTGATGTATAGTAGGACGATTTAAGTTAATAATTAAATGAAATAATATTAATTTAGATTAATAAAAACATACAGGGTGTCCGGTAAGTAAGTACAAAAAAATTAGTAATAGGTTTTATGGGCTAAAATAAAACGAAAATGAAGGATAACATTTTGTTAACACCTCGTCAGAGAGATATTGGCCACCACTTTGAAACCGAAAAATATTATTATTAATTTGATATAACAACTTCACCAATATTTCTGAATTTTTAATTTTCATGAGGCCTTTTGCCAGCTATGCTGGCATCATCAGACACATCACATGTTCTATGTAAAAATATGTCACGTTTCTTTACCAATTTATTTGTTTTATGGTAACTTTAGGAAAAATATAATGTGCAACTCGAGTGCAAAGTGCAATTGCCTCACTCGAGATGTCTGATGATGCCAGCATAGCTGGCGAAAGGCCTCATAAAAATTAAAAATTCAGAAATATTGGTGAAGTTGTTATTTCAAATTAATATTAATTCCAATATTACCAGTTCTTCTTGAAGACCGAAAAATATTGTTTAATGATTTTTTTTCACATAGCTTAGTCTAAAAGTTATAACCAGTCAGTAGCTTTTGTGTTTGTTAAGAGCTCTATCAATCATTCGGCAGTGTTTGCTCATTGCACAAAGATCAGGTGTTATAAAGAATCCAGTCATTCCCTGCAACTTATCCGTCAAACAAAAAATACTTGGATGACAACTAACTTTTTCAATTAGTGGCTAGTATCATTAAATAAGGTTATGAAACACAAAAATCTAAACTTATCTCGCTCCTTAACAATTGTTTGGTCCACAACAACGATCCTCATGTTTTAAACATAAAACTTCAATTTCTGCAACACATTAGAGTTGTAGGCCCTTGATGCATACAAACATCATACAATATTACAAAAAGGACCTGAAATATAAAAAAAATGAACTCTTTGTAATCAGATGGTTTCTTTTTCTTCCAATAAGTCTGACCTCTTCATAACTCAAATTTATTTGCTTGACCGTTCAGTTTTTAACTATCAAGGTTTTACTGTATTTACTCACCATATTTTAGAGGTTCAACTTCCCTAGCCTGGACAACAGTTGTTTTTAACTCAGTTTCAACATCTTTGGAGAATTTTATCATCTGGAAAAAAAAAATACCTACTAAATAACCCAATGGTTATGGGTGAATAATTTTTTGGGACAATCACTGTCCTTGTTGAGAAATTAATTGAATCTGGTTACAACTATTTAATTGAAAACAAGGCAGAATACACTGTTCATTGTGACTGGGTATCTTATTTTGAGTAAAAAATTTTTATATGTATTATAATAAATATAACTTCCGGAATTGATGCGCCGATCGCACGTCCCGTTTGTCTCTGTTTGTCCTAATTTGATGTTAAACCATAAAATATAGTTGCTCGTTATTTATCAAAACAACAACAAAAACATTATTTATCCTAACGTATAAACCTGAGTATTATACCATAGATAATCTGTAAAATTATATATAACGCTTTAAAACTTTGTCTCCACTGTGTTAAGTAGCGCCGGTCGCAAGGTTTTTAATTTAAGTTTCTAGCCGTTATATGGCTGGTCGAGCACCAGTTCCTTGTCAGATGTGCGTGGAATGTCAGTGAGGTCCATTGTGCGTGCTCGAAATTTAGCTATTTACCGGTAAGTAATAATTCATCAAATACTTTAATAAACAGGTGTTTTATGTTTTTATACTGCGCAAAAATTTTTCTCTTAGGGGGGGGGGGGGGGTAGCTTAAATTTTTTAAGTAGGAAGTATGGTCGATTTTTGTATCATTTTACAGGTCTTGACATAACTAAACAATTAACATCAAGAAAATAGAAATCGGACAACTAATAACAAAATGGCAGCTAAAAATTATTAAGACAATTAATAGTCATTAAAAGTAATTTTTAACTGCCATTTTGTTATTAGTGGTCAAATTTCTATTTTATTGATGTTAATTGTTTAGTTTTGTCAAGACCTGTAAAATTATACCAAAATCAACCATACTTCCTATTTTAAAATTTTGAGCTACCCCCACTACCCTAAGGGCAAAATTGTCAAAATTAAACATCATTATTGTAGCCCCTCATATCTAAATAGGTTCCTGCAAACCGATTTCAAATATTTGAAATACCTAGTTAAAAAGTAAGGGGGTGCAAGTTAATTTTCAGTCACCCTCGTAGTTATTTGGATTTGTTACGTTTTAGGGCACCATTTTGTTATTAGTGGTCCGATTTTGGTTTTCTTTATGTCAATTGTTTAGTTTTGTCAAGACCTGTAAAATGATACCAAACTCGACTAAACTTGCCATTTGAAAATTTTGAGCTATTGTAGCCCCTCATTTCTAAGATGGTTGCCGCTAACCGATTTCAAATATCTCAAAAAAGGTTCAAAAGTTAAGGGGGGGAGGGGTGCAAGTTACTTCTCAGCCACCCTGTATATACACCGGGGGTAGACTATACAAATTTGTTAAGTGTTCTTTGGCTGAATCATATACATATACAAACACATGACAAATATTATCTAACAAGCTTACCTCCTCTATTTTTGTTTTATCTTCAACATGTTTGTTTTTTTGATACTCCTCATTGATCTTAGCTCGAGTTACTGAAAACAACATAATTTTAGTGGCTTCTCTTTCAGCAGTTACTTGTATTATGCAGAGTGTCCCATAAGTAAATAGCTAAGCTTTACAAAATGTTTCTATGGGTCCAAATAAAAAGAAAATCAAGAATGCAATGTTTCCCAAAATCTCTTTGTTAACCATATATATTTACAGTTTTTTTTCAACTGATCCTTATGGGACTTGGTATGTATGTTAAAGTTAAAGAGACCAATTTTAGAAACACAATTAACTTAGTCAAATTTAAAATTTCTAAATAATGGCCATTTATAAACAATTCAAACAACCAAAAAATTACTGATTTTATGAAAAACCATCAAGAACACTTTTAAAAGCATGTACATTTTCCTATCAAACTACACAGCGTTTAAAAAGATCAAAACTAGAAGTAGCTGAAATATCACAATTTTTAGTTGTAAAATGAGGTAGAATAAGGCCAAGATAGTAAGGTGGCTTATTGGACCACTAAAAATCATTATTTTTCAGTTATACTTCAATTGATCTTTTAGAACTTAGTGTAGTTTGATTAGAAATTTAACATGCTAAATAAAAGTATGCCTACTGTACCTACTTGACAATTTTCATAAAATCAACTATTTTTCATTAGCTTTAACTATAAATATTTAAATGGGTGCCTTTTTGGGATGTTGAATTGGACCAAGCTCATTTTTTCCTAGCATAGGTCTCTTTACTTTAAAATAAATACCAAGTTTAAAAAAGATGGGTCAGAATAACGCAAAAATAAAAAATAAAATTTGTAAATACAAAATGGAGGATATCTAGTTATCGAAGCGATTTTTTTAAAAAACTACATTCTTGTTTTATCTTTATTTTGTTTTTGACCCATTAAACCTTTTTCTGGAGTTTGGCTGTTTATCTACAGGAAACTCTGTATTTTTAATAAGAGTGATGAAAACTAAGTTTGGAAGAAATCT